GCTCCCGCCACGAGGCGACATCCTCGGGATCGACCTGGGAGCGCGCAGAAACGCCCTGCCTGTCCACGACCATGCGCTCCCCGACCGTCAGGGTCGACCGCACGCGGCGCTCGCCGCCGGAGATCACGACCTCGACGGTTCCCGACTGGACGGCAACCGACACCCCGTCACGAGACGATCCGACATCGAAGGCCGTGCCCTTGACGGTGACCGCCACGTTGCCCGCCGTCACCACGAACGGACGGTCGTGCGCGGATACGACCTTGAAGAATGCCTGGCCCGCCAGCAGCGCGACTTCGCGCCGCCCTTTGTCGTAGCGCACCGCGATGGCGCTATCGGCGTCCAGGTGAACGATGCTGCCGTCCTCGAGCGTCAGTTCGCGCAGCTCGGCGACGCCGGTCAGATGATCGGCCTGGAGGCGAAGTTTGAGGCTGGGAAAGGTCCAGAGCGCGACACAGGCCGCGAGGACTGCCGCCGCCAGCGCCCAGGTGCGCCGCTTGCGACGGACACGGGACAGATCGACAATCCCCCCGGCTGAAGCCGGCGTGGCCGACGGCAACTCGCCCGTGAGCGTCCAGACCCGCTCGACGCTGCGATAAGCGCGACGGTGTGCGTCGCTCGACGCAAGCCACGCATCCAGCCCTGCACGGGCTCCGGCATCTGCGGGCGCGGCCTGGATCCGCACCAGCCAATCCACCGCCTCGCTGCGCAGGGAGTCGCTATCGTCCACGTAGGAAGTCACCCGTCTGCAATCTCGCTCGCCCCGTCCGAACGACCACAACGAACAGACGGCGAGCAATATCGACTTTTAAGGGTCGCGCCGGGAAAGTTCTACGGGATCAGCCGTCCAGGCGGCGGGCGGCATGGAGAATTGCATCTTTCACGAGTTGGTGAGCGCGCACCACGGATACGCCGAGCCGGTCGCCCACCTGCTGGAGCGTTCGGCCCTCCAGCCGATACATCGTGAAGGCGACACGCGTCCGTTCCGGCAACTCGGCAAGCGCATCGGCGAGGAGACGGAGTTCGTCGCGATAATGCAGGACGTCCTCTGCCGTGGGCGCGTCCTGGGCAACCTGTTCGACCGCCGGCACCTCCCCCGTCGGAGTCATGTCGGAGGCGCGTTTCGACCAGTCGAGCGCGAGGTTGCGAACGATGCGGTAGAGGTAACTGACAGGGCTGGCGATCGGCCTCTGGTCGCCGCTGGCGGAGCTGAACCGGAGATAGGCCTCCTGCACGACATCTTCCGCGCCCGCGCGGTCCCGGAGGATGCCGTTGGCGTAGTTCACCAAAGAGCCGCGATGCTTCAGATAAAGCGCAAGGGTCGCATCTGCCGAGTTCACGCCTTCCCCTGCGCCTAAATGCGAATAGTTCTCAATTCAGTTATACTGAAGCCACGGCGCGGCGGCAAGCCTCGCGGACCGCGATGCCGAGAACGATCCGACAGGGGGTGTCAGGCGGCCAGCAAGACGCTCTGCTCGCGCTCGAGGACGCGCTTCACGGCCGGCCGCGCCAGCATGCGATCCTTCCATGCCGTGTAGTTCTTCAGCTCCTCGACCGGCAGGCCGATGCGCTTGCCCCAGCCGTAGAAGACCAGCGCGTAGCCGTCGACCACGGAGAATTCGTCGCCCAGGATCCACGTCTTGCCCGCAAGGAGACCGTCGATCTCCTTGAGGTTGGCGTGGAAGTTCTCCCGACCGACCGCCTTGAGATGATCGAACACGGCGGTATCGGTGGCGAAGCGCTCGGGACGCCCGATATGGGTGAAGTTCGGATGCACGCCGTTGGAGAACCAGGCCATCAGCGAGATGGCGCGGGCGCGCTTCACCGGATCCGTCGGCATCAGGTGGGGCGCGTACGTCGCCGCGACGTAGTCGAGGAATCGCGGTGTTCTCGACGATCGTGCCCTCGTCGACCACCAGCGCCGGCACGCGGCCGCGCGGATTGACCTTCAGGTATTCCAGCGTGCGCTGCTCGCTCTTGGCGAAGGACAAAGCCTGCGAATCGTACTTCGCCCCGCTCTCCTCCAGACCGATGTGCGAAGCCGTCGAGCAGGCGCCGGGTGCGAAAGTAGAGCT